ACAAAAAGTTTCATTTGTTTCCCTAAAAGTGTCTCTAGCATGAGATTAAATGCTGTATTTCCCTATAAAACACAATTAGCAAGATAACAATATCGACAGTGATGCATCATGGTAGATAGATTCCATTGCTAAAAGTAGTAGAGAGCCAATATTAAAAGTCTAACCCAAAGGAGAGGAAATAGGGATGAAAATATTTCTCTAGTTATTATTATCATCCAGACTAAATAAAGTGCAACAAAGCCTGTCGTAGGTAAACTATAGGTGAGAAGGGGAAATTGTCATGGCCATAAGTATATAAGTCCAATTCCTTTTGTTAAGCCTAAAGGTAGAATCACATCCTAAAACAGAATACAAGAGGGAGCAGAGTCAAAGTCAGAAGTATGAGTTCAACCTTCCTAAACAGGGGGACCTTGGAAAAGGGCATTAGTGTCAAGTGACCATATATAAGAACTCTTTCTCCTACCCTGAAACTTTGGAAAAGTTGGCACAAGAGATTCCTACAGGATCCTCAATCTTTTAGCCTCCCAAGGCATATACTTCCACTCCTTTTGATTCTGAATACATCCCCTTTGTCTTTGTCAAGTGACTTTAATTGTCCCTCACTGCCTTGGGGCTGAGATTTGTCCTGAATGATCCTAATGTGATCCCACATCAAAGGAAGAAGTGGACAGTGCCAATAAGACCCTTTGGCCAAGTTCAAGTAACTAAGGTTTAGAAGAAGTGGGCTTTAAGGCTGCCTTACCTGATCCATAGTTAAGCCTAATTCTCTGTCCTCTTAAGTCCTAGAATCTCAAAATACTGTTTTCAATTGCCTTTTGTTAGAAGTACTTCTGTGGAATGTCCATAGACATAGTTACAAAGTTTTGCAAGGGAAATACAAAGCAAAACCCACAAGACTAAAATATTTTAAAAACTTATTTTGTTTACTAAGCAACCATAGTAGATTTTTGACCACATGTTTAAGCCTGTTGACAGTCTTAGTTAATTTCCATTGCAAAAAAGCCTTTAGGTTAGATAAATAATGATTAATAACATTAGTCAGGACATTCCTCCAATCCCTCATTATTCTTTTAAAGAAAATCTGAATTCTTCAGTATACAAGACCGTGTGTGTGTGTGTGTGTGTGTGTGTGGGTTTGATGTGTGTGTGTGTATACCTATTTTTTGTTAATCAGTAGGTTTAGCCTTTGTATCTAAACTCCCACTCAATTTTCTCTTTTAAGATCTATGAATAAAATTAAATAAAGTAAGAATGTTTGTTTACATATGTACTATCTAGGTGACCAAAACCCGGTCCTTTTTAATTATCAGAGTGTCACTGCTGGAGTTGGGCAAATATTTTGGCATGTCTGATTATCTTCACTTAAAAGATGATAGTCATAATGCCAATTAAGGAAGTAACATAAACAAACCTGGAAAAAGGCTAGCATCCAACAACATTTTCTATTTGGCAGGATACAAGCTTGGTAAAGTGTTTCTAAGCTTTTCATTTTAGAATGATTATATTACTTGGGGAACATAAATACCATGTTAATATTTAACAAGAGCCAGTAACAGTTAGCATCATGGTACCAGTTTATTTAATTTGGTTTTTACTTTGAGGAAAAATTTGAGAATCTGTAGTTGTAGGATAACAGGTGTACAGCCCTGAAAAATACCAATGTTTTTAGACCTCTTATAAGTTTATGGGACAATGCTTTGACCCCAGATTGACGTTTTTCCAGATGTACAAGTGCATGTCAAATATGTAATATCTAAATGCTCATTTAGAGCAAATAAATGTAGCTAGGTTTTAAATAGCTGGAGTGTCCAAATGCCAGGTTTCTCCATTTGAATGGTAGCATGAATGCCAGTAGTTTCATTGACCATTTTATGTTGACAGTTCAGATGCAATGCATACCATATAAAAGAGAACGCTTCTTGGTTATTTGATATGTATTAAACTTATGTGCCTTTAACTCTGTAAACTCTTGCATAACCTTTTGAGAAAGTTAAGATGTGTAGCTCTGCACATTTCAATCACAAATATACTGCAAGTGCTCCTGTTTTATTCCTTTGGAAAGTATTTGCTTTAGCTGATTTTTTTTTCTTTTTCATTCTTTTTGCTTGTTTCTCTAGCCCTTGTGCTTATCAAAAGTTAGCTCTAATGCCTTTGTTTGATTCAAACTATACAGTTTTGTTGAAAATACTTGATAAGTAATACTCAGTACTTTATATTGTATCACTTCAAGAGATTGAATGTCTGGTTGTCTTATGTTTTATGACTGACTGCTGTGTTAAAGGGAGACAACCATACACCTATATTAAGTGGTTTAGTTTACTGGTAATATTTGGCACCATGTAAGCAATGAATTCTTTGCTATTCCTCATAGTGATTTTAGCATCCAACTGATGATTATTGCCTGACTCAATTATTTCATTAAGGAGTTAAAAAATTCATGATTTTCTAGTTGTTTTATGCTTTTACATTTATTAACAAGCATTCTTTTGTAAAATAAAGAGCTTTCCCTCTAGCTCAGGCTATTTGGGTATCTTGAGTACAGTTCTATGACAGTACAAGATCAAATGGTGCTTTGCTCCTGTTTACCAGTTTTCAGAATTTAGTATTTGTGCTTTGCTTCTGTTTTTTTTTTTTCTCCTTTAAGTTTCGGTTCTTTGGGTATTATGATGTCCAAAAAGTTGAGTTTTGTAGTTATTATGAGAGACAATATTATGGTTTGAACTCAGGGCCTTGAGCTTGCTAGGCAGACACTCTACCCCCCAAGCCACGACCTCAGCCCTTTTCACTTTGATTATTTTTTAAGATGGGGTCTGGATTTTATGCCCAGGTTGGCCTGGACCAGGTTCCTCATATTTATGCTTCCTGTGTAGCTGGGATGACAGGCAAGCACCACTACAGCTTTTTATTTGGTGAGGTGGAATCTCATAAACTTTTTGTCCAGACTGGCCTTGCACTGTGACCCTCCAGATCTCCACCCCTCATGACAGGTGTGAACCAGTACACCTGTCAGCATTACTTCTTAATAGGCCTCCATCACTCTTCATTTAACTTTTCTATGTAATTTTTGCTCAGCACACAATAATTTACTGAAGAGAACTAAAAGTTTAGGCTTTTTTTTTTATGTTAAAGACACTTTAGTGTCTTTAATTAAAAGACACTTTAGTTAAAGACACTTTAGTGTCTTTAATTAGTAACTTTTTATAGTAGAACATTATGTTAGTCAGCTTTTCATTACTGTAAAAAGTACGTGAGATATATCAACTTAAAAATAGGAAAGGTTTATTTTGCTCAATTTTGAAGGTTTTATGCCATGACCTATAGATCTTGTTGCTCTTGGTCTATGGTGGCATGGTACATTATGGCAGGAGCATGTGTTTGCAGAGGTATACTTGCTTCATGGTCAGGAATAGAAAGTAAAAGAGACCATGGAAAAGAACAAGGTCTCTCAGTGCCTTTTGATCTAAGACATAAGGTCTTTGACATTCTGAGTGACACATTTTCATGGTGCTGTTTATTGTACTTTTCCAAATTAATTGAATTTCATTTTACTGTGAGCTATAAAAGAAATCATTAAATTAAATCATTAATTAAAAATCATTAATCATTAACTAAAAATTTCCAAATATTCTTAAATGAAAGTTGCAAATATCTTCTTATATGGCAAATATTACATGTTTTTAAATTGTTTTCAAATATATTTTACTCTCAATTGTATTATCCATCTCAAAAGTGGCTAGTGCTTTACCAGGAAAAAAATACTAATATAACTCATTATATTCTCTTTCACATAGGAAATGGCTGTTTTCAAAATCGCAGCTCTCCAAAAAGTTATAGATAATAGTGTTTCTTTGTCTGAGCTAGAACTAGCTAATAAACAATACAATGAATTGACTGCTAAGTACAGAGACATCTTGCAAAAAGATAATATGCTTGTTCAAAGAACAAGTAACTTGGAACACATAGAGGTAAGTCTATGGCCCTTGAACCTTGTGACATTAGCCATTTTTTTAATGATATTTTTAAGTTTGGGGGGATTTTATAGATTTTAATTAGAAAAAGTTTGTTTCAATTTATGTAAATTTACAGGTGTTATGCAGATATATAATTTAATTGTATTTTATTCTTGAATATCAGTATGCACACATGCATAACATATTCTTTATTTATAGTTGCAGAGTGACTTATAGATGACTTCATACAGGTCATCTCCCTTATCCTGTTTGAATGATTTAGCTGAATCACACTTCTTTCATCCAAACACTTATTATTTTTTTAAATTAATTAGTTAATTTATTTTTCTTTTATTCATATGTGCATGCAATGTTTGGGTCATTTCCCCCCCCTCCCCGCCCCGTCCACTTTCTCTCTTCCCCACCCCCTTGCTACCAGGCAGAAACTATTTTGCCCTTATCTCAAATTTTGTTGAATAGAGAGTATAAGAAATAAGAAGGAACATGGAACAGATAGGGTATTATATTCAAAGGAAGAAGTGTCATTAGGTACACATTCCTTTCTCTTACCACTATTCCCAGAGTGAACAATCTCTTATGGTCCCTGGATTCTGTTCCTTATGATGGATTTATTGACAGTGGATGATGTCTTAATGGCTTTTTCTAGATCCTGGATGAGCTCGGCACATCTCTGTCCTTTCCTATTTTACTGATACAAAAGAGTAGGATGGAGTGTTACAAGTTCCGTTCACACCTTCTGTGAATATTATTTTCTTTAGTCACATAATCGTTGTACTTTTTTAAGTAGACAAACAAGTTCTTGTTTTGTTCGTCTTCTTAATCAGAAATTATAGGCTTATATCTTTTGGTTTATTCTCTTTTAAAATCTCACAGAGTAGAATAAAATATAATTCTATTAGCTGGGCATAGTGGTGCGTGCCTGTAATCCTCATTTCTTAGGCAGTAGAGACAGGAGGATTGCAGTTTGAGGCCAGCCCTATCTCAAAAATAAGCTGAAAAGGTTGTGCATGTCTGTAATCCCAATGACTCATGAGGCAGGTATAGGAGGATGATGGTTCAATGCCAGCCTGGGCAAAGCATGAGATCTTAACTGAAAAATAAACTAAAAGCAAAAGGACTGGGAACATCAGTAAAGTGGTAGAGTACCTGCCTAGCATATGCAAGGTCCTGAGTTCAATCCCCAGTGCTCCCCTCCCCACCCCGCATACCTTTCATTGACTTCTACAAAATTATCTGAATCATTGTTTATTACTATTATCAAGAAGTAATTGTGATCAGTTTACTTTCTACTGCTTTGTCAAAGGCATGATTATGTTAATTTTTGTAGATAATTCTAAATATTTAGTTATGGTAACAATTTATTTCCTTTTTGCCATATTCTGTGTCCTCATTTCTGTCCTTTCTAATATTAAAGAATTCTAAGTAAGAAATCTGCAGACAACATCTCAATGAGTAATTTTTAACTTAAGTTCATCTATTTTCCCAAAGAATATTTTTCATTTTTTCTCACAAATTACAAAAGAAGATATGCCTTATCATTTAATCTCTGTATTTTCACTTATATACTAATTACTTATTTTAACAGAACTTGTTAAATGCCTGTGTCCCACTTGTTACTGCAGTATATCAAAAACACCTGCAAAATTATATGTGCAAAAATAGTGCATAAAATGACCATTTTATTCTGCTTATAGCTCCTAGGGACCAGAATTCAGACAGGGCACACTGTGGGAGGCTTGTCTGCTCTACAAAGCCTGATCCCTAAATTAGGAAAGCTTAAAAGACAAGGGTAACTCAGCACTGGGGAACTGGAATCAACTGAAAGCACCTTCACTCACATACCTGGTATAGGGCTATGATGACTTTAGGCTGATTCTTCTCTGGGATTGTTTACCAGTGTTTACTTGTGACTTCACACATCTCAGCTTCCTCACAGCATGGCAGTCTCTTGAGTCATTGAGCTTCTCCCCTAGCTACCAGGACCCTATCACTAGTGTTCTAACGAACTAGGTAGAAATCACATTGCCTTTCATGATTCAGTGGAGAACGATACAATATTATCCTCCACTGTTCTTTGTTGCTTAAAGGAGCCACAAGGCTGCTGGGAAGTAATGAAAGAACCATACTCCCCACCTCTTAATGTAAGGTGTATCAAAAAATTTTGTGGTATCTTATTAAAAACTGCCACAGCCTTTTCAAGGAGATTTCTACCTGGCTTTGACAGCTACATCAAATTCATTAGGTTCAAGACTTTCTTGTGCTCTTGGACCCCTCAGTCGGCCAATTAAGGGACTTCTTAGTTATATTGTACCTTTTCTCTCCTGTTCTGTCTGCCTTCCATTTATTGATTCATTTATTTATTATTCATATGTGCATACAATGCTTGGGTCATTTCTCCCCCCTGCCCCCACCCCCTCCCTTACCACTCACCCCCACCCCCCCTGTCTCCCCCCAACCACCTCGATACCTGGCAGAAACTATTTTGCCCTTATCTCTAATTTTGTTGAAGAGAGAGTATAAGCAATAATAGGAAAGAACAGGGTTTTTGCTGGTTGAGATAAGGATAGCTATACAGGGAGTTGACTCACATTAATTTCCTGTGCGTGTGTTACCTTCTAGGTTAATTCTTTTTGATCTAACCTTTTCTCTAGTTCCTGGTCCCTCCTATTGGCCTCAGTTGCTTTTAAGGTATTTGCTTTAGTTTCTCTGCATTGAGGGCAACAAATGCTAGCTAGTTTTTTAGGTGTCTTACCTATCCTCGTATCTCCCTTGTGTGCTCTCGCTTTTATCATGTGCTCAAAGTCCAATCCCCTTGTTGTGTTTGCCCTTGATCTAATGTCCACATATGAGGGAGAACATACGATTTTTGGTCTTTTGGGCCAGGCTAACCTCACTCAGAATGATGTTCTCCAATCCATATTTACCAGCGAATGATAACATTTCGTTCTTCTTCATGGCTGCATAAAATTCCATTGTGTATAGATACCACATTTTCTTAATCCATTCGTCAGTGGTGGGGCATCTTGGCTGTTTCCATAACTTGGCTATTGTGAATAGTGCCGCAATAAACATGGGTGTGCAGGTGCCTCTGGAGTAACTGTGTCAGTCTTTTGGGTATATCCCAAGAGTGGTATTGCTGGATCAAATGGTAGATCATGTTAGCTTTTTAAGTAGCCTCCAAATTTTTTTCCAGAGTGGTTGTACTATTCATTCCCACCAACAGTGTAAGAGGGTTCCTTTTTCCCCGCATCCTCGCCAACACCTGTTGTTGGTGGTGTTGCTATGATGGCTATTCTAACAGGGGTGAGGTGGAATCTTAGTGTGGTTTTAATTTGCATTTCCTTTATTGCTAGAGATGGTGAGCATTTTTTCATGTGTTTTTTGGCCATTTGAATTTCTTCTTTTGAGAAAGTTCTGTTTAGTTCACTTGCCCATTTCTTTATTGGTTCATTAGTTTTGGGAGAATTTAGTTTTTTAAGTTCCCTATATATTCTGGTTATCAGTCCTTTGTCTGATGTATAGCTGGCAAATATTTTCTCCCACTCTGTGGGTGTTCTCTTCAGTTTAGAGACCATTTCTTTTGATGAACAGAAGCTTTTTAGTTTTATGAGGTCCCATTTATCTATGCTATCTCTTAGTTGCTGTGCTGCTGGGGTTTCATTGAGAAAGTTCTTACCTATACCTACTAATCCAGAGTATTTCCTACTCTTTCCTGTATCAACTTAGAGTTTGGGGTCTGATATTAAGATCCTTGATCCATTTTGAGTTAATCTTGGTATAGGGTGATATACATGGATCTAGTTTCAGTTTTTTGCAGACTGCTAACCAGTTTTCCCAGCAGTTTTTGTTGAAGAGGCTGCTATTTCTCCATCGTATATTTTTAGCTCCTTTGTCAAAGACAAGTTGGTTATAGTTGTGTGGCTTCATATCTGGGTCCTCTATTCTGTTCCACTGGTCTTCATGTCTGTTTTTGTGCCAGTACCATGCTGTTTTTATTGTTATTGCTTTGTAATATAGTTTGAAGTCAGGTATTGTGATACCTCCAGCATTGTTCTTTTGACTGAGTATTGCCTTGGCTATTCGTGGCCTCTTGTGTTTCCATATAAATTTAAGTAGATTTTTCAATCTCTTTAATGAATGTCATTGGAATTTTGATGGGAATTGCATTAAACATGTAGATTACTTTTGGGAGTATAGACATTTTTACTATGTTGATTCTACCAATCCATGAGCATGGGAGATCTCTCCACTTTCTATAGTCTTCCTCAATCTCTTTCTTCAGAAGTTATAGTTTTCCTTGTAGAGGTCTTTCACATCTTTTGTTAGGTTTACACCTAGGTATTTGATTTTTTTTGAGGCTATTGTAAATGGAATTGTTTTCATACATTCTTTTTCAGTTTGTTCATTGTTAGTGTATAGAAATGCTAATGATTTTTCTATGTTGATTTTATATCCTGCTACCTTGCTATAGCTATTGATGATGTCTAGAAGCTTCTGAGTAGAGTTTTTGGGTCTTTAAGGTATAGGATCATGTCGCAAAAGGGATATTTTGACAGTTTCTTTACCTATTTGTATTCCTTTTATTCCTTCTTCTTGCCTAATTGCTCTGGCTAGGAATTCCAGTACTATGTTGAATAGGAGTGGAGATAGTGGGCATCCTTGTCTGGTTCCTGATTTTAGAGGGAATGGTTTCAGTTTTTCTCCGTTAAGTATAATGCTGGCTGTAGGTTTGTCATATATAGCTTTTATAATGTTGAGGTACTTTCCTTCTATTCCTAGTTTTCTTAGAGCTTTTATCATGAAATGGTTTGGATCTTATCAAAGGCTTTTTCTGCATCTATTGAGATGATCAAGTGGTTTTTGTCTTTGCTTCTGTTAATGTGGTTTATTACGTTTATTGATTTTCGTATGTTGAACCACCCCTGCATCCTGGGATGAAGCCTACTTGGTCGTGGTGAATAATCTTTTTGATGTGTTGTTGAATTCGGTTTGCCATTATTTGTTGAGGATTTTTGCATCAATGTTCATTAAGGAGATTGGCCTATAGTTCTCCTTTTTGGAGGTGTCTTTGCCTGGTTTTGGGATAAGTGTAATACTGGCTTCATAAAATGTGTTTGGCAGTTTTCCTTCCCTTTCTATTTCATGGAACAGTTTAAGGAGGGTTGGTATCAGTTCTTCTTTAAAGGTCTGATAGAATTCAGCAGAGAATCCATCAGGTCCTGGACTTTTCTTTTTGGGGAGACTCTTGATTGCTGCTTCAATTTCATTTTGTGTTATAGGTCTATTCAGGTGATTAATTTCCTCTTGGTTCAGTTTTGGATGATCATATGTATCTAGAAATCTGTCCATTTCTTTAAGATTTTCAAATTTATTTGAATATAGGTTCTCAAAGTAGTCTCTGATGATTTCCTGGACTTCCATGGTGTTTGTTGTTATCTCCCCTTTTGCATTCCTGATTCTACTAATTTGGGTTTTTTCTCTCCTCATTTTAGTCAGGTTTGCCAGGGGTCTATCGATCTTGTTTATTTTTTCAAAGAACCAACTTTTTGTTTCATTAATTCTTTGTATGGTTTTTTTGGTTCTATTTCATTGATTTCAGCTCTTATTTTTTATTTTCTCTCCTTCTATTTGTTTTGGGATTTGCTTGTTCTTGTTTTTCTAGGAGTTTGAGATGTATCATTAGGTCATTGATTTGGGATCTTTCAGTCTTTTTAATATATGCACTCATGGCTATAAACTTTCCTCTCAGGACTGCCTTAGCTGTGTCCCATAGGTTCCGTAGGTTGTGTTTTCATTTTCATTGACTTCCAGGAACTTTTTAATTTCCTCTTTTATTTCATCGATGATCCATTCTTCATTAAGTAATGAGTTACTCAGTTTCCACCTGTTTGCATGTTTTTTGTCTTTTCTTTTGTTGTTGAGTTCTACTTTTACTGCATTGTGATCAGATAGTATGCACAGTATAATTTCTATTTTCTTATATTTGCTGAGGTTTGCTTTGTGCCCTAGGATATGATCTATTTTGGAGAAGGTTCCATGGGCTGCTGAGAAGAATGTATATTGTGTAGAGTTGGATGAAATGTTCTGTAGACATCAACTAGGTCCATTTGATCTATTGCATATTTTAGATCTTGGATTTCTTTATTGATTTTTTGTTTGGATGACCTATCTATTCATGATAATAGGGTGCTAAAGTCTCCCACAATCACTGTGTTGGAGTTAATATATGCTTTTAGGTCCTTCAGGATATGTTTGATGAAATTGGGTGCATATTGTTGATAATTATTGTTTCCTTTTGGTCTATTTCCCCTTTTATTAGTATGGAATGTCGTTTACACTTCATGTTATGTTTTGCTGTAAGGACGTTCATAATTTGCTTTAGAAACTTATTTTTTTTTTGCAACACATGTTCTTTCTTACATATGTTCTTTCGTACATGTGATTTCCATTGTCTCGCCAGATTTCTTCTCTTCCAGTTTGTCTACTCAGTGCATTTTTATTCGTGTATCAAACTATTCAGGTATTACCTTTTTTTCTGAAACATGTTCTTTATGGATTCTGGTTTTGTATCTTGTACATAATTCTGCTATTCATATCACATCACGTATGTGTTTATATATCTGCTTCACTTACTGGACTGTAAGCCAGTATGAAACACTTTGTTATGTGTGTTTAGTTATCTCCTGTTGGCAGAGAATTAGAGCTCATAAATGTTGACCTGAGAGCATGGTTAATAACATAGAACCATGCTGGAAAATCATTGCCAGTTTTTTTTTGTTTTGTTTTTGTTTTTGAGAGTATAGTTTCATTGGAGTTGAGCTGATGAAAATCAGGCTCCTGAAAAAATGAAGAGAGTGGATTGTAAGAAAATATTAAAACTCTGTGAATAACAAGGCAGTAGAAAACCTGGTAATTTGATTGAAGAAATAGATGTGTATTGAGATAGACTCAAAAAGAGCATTTGTTTTTTAACTTTTGTTTGTTTTTTAAATAAAGAAAACCAGTGAAACTTGAGGGGGAAGAAAAAGAAAATTTTAGACCTAGTTGGGAGAGGGTAATGGAGATTAGGAATGAGTGGTAATAAAAAATAAAATGCTAAGTAAGATACGGGAAGAAAATGGGCTTTGGAACAAAATTAGGGTTATCTTGTGAAATATGATAAGGAAGGAAGAAAAAAATGGGTAGGAAGATGTTTAAAACACCTCGATGCCTCTTTCTCACTTCTTCTGTTCTCTGGTATATTCACGGTATCTAAAATCTGGTGTAATTGTGCACTTTAACAGAAAAATCACGTTTTATTTCCTTTTCTTGCTTATTTCATCACAATCACCCCCTTTTTTACTCATTACTCTAATTTTATTATTCTTCATAACACTTACTCTCTGTTATTGTACTATATATTGGCTTACTTTCCAGTTACCTCACTAAAATATAAATCTTGAGCAGTGCTACTGAGAAAGTTTTTAGGTGTGGGAGCATTTTGTACTTTAGATTTTTAGTTTAGGGATGCTCAACAGCTCAAATCTATACAAATAGTACATCAGAAAACAAAACAAAAACTTCCAAGGTCTGAAATACTTCCAGTTCCAAGCATTTTGAATCAGGTAATGAATGCTCTCTTCGCACTTAGTTTTGCTCCTGCTGCTTACGTCTCCAGTTTCTTGTCTCAGGCCTTTTCCTCCTCTCTGCTTTTCTAATACATCAAACCCTTTCTCACTCTAGAGTACTGTTATTTGCCATACTGTAGCAGCTCTTTTCATGGCCAATTTCTTGTGAAGTTTGGCTTCTTCTCATACCTTATGTTTCAGCTTAAATAACTCCTCTTTGGTGGTTAAACGTTTTTCAGTCATTCTTATCTAGACATGCCTCCTCTCATTTTTCTCTGGCTCAGTACACTGTATTTTTTTCTTTCATGTTCCTGATAGTTTAATGAAGTTTCTGCTTATTTACCTTTTTATTGCCTTCCACATCCTCTCCAATTCCTGATACAAATACGTATCTACAGACACCAACCCGAGAAACCTATAAAACACAGAATTTTGTCTGTTTCGTTTTACACCATGAACATTCGATACCTGTCTCTGAGCACGCTAAGGATGCACAGTATTTGTGTGAATGAGGCAAGTAAGCACTCGTTTGTGAAGGTTATGTGTATCCAGATTAACCCGAATGACCATGCAACTTTAATGACAGAAGCTAATTCTCAGAAGTGTAGAGCCATGTGTTGGAAACACAGATTTTGATGATTATTTTTAAATAATATTTTATACAGATTTATGTATATGTATCACATATGGGGGAAATACTTATACAGAAACTAAGTTGTGAGTTTTAGGAGATAACCATAAAAAGTTGAAACCTCGTCACTTCTGTGGTATTGTTGTAAATTACAGTGTAGTTTATTAGTGATGTTTGTCTTTTACTCAGCATGAAAATGCATCCTTAAAAGAACAAATGGAATATGTAAATAAAGAACTGGAGATTACCAAGGAAAAACTTCACACTATTGAACAAGCCTGGGAACAGGAAACTAAATTAGGTAAATTTTAGAATTCTGATAATGTAAAATGGTTCGTATCTTACAGTGAACATTTTTCATTTAAATTCCATTCCCATTATAAGATGACAAGGGCAAATTTTGATTTAAAAAAAAAGAGTTCTCTGCTTAACAGTTTAACTTAGTAAGCATTAATTAGTGAATAATATCGTGGACAAGTCTCCTCCAAAATTTGGCTAATAGTTCTTAAATTATTTTCTTAATTAAGTCGTATTAGTTAAAAATTTATGACGAAACATTAGCCATTTTGAATCATTTTAACAATCAAAACTAGTGATTCTTTTTAAATACTAGTATTTTAACAATAGCAATATGAGTTCTTTTTCAGAGTATAAAGTTATACTATGCCATTTTAGATGTTTTAATTAAAAGATCACTATAAAATGTGATGAAAAATTGAAAAGTATTTCTGCTGCCCGTAGTTGCACTGCTATATTGTGATTGTTTTTCTTATCTATGCCATATGTATTATATATACTTTAAATTATAATAAATACTATTTAGTAGAGATCAAAATTATTACCATGTTTTAACCATCATACTTGCAAATATTTACATATATCCTGCTTCAGTAAATACAAATCACTAGCTTTTTAAATTTTTATTACTGTTTATCATGCTACAGTAAAAAATCTTTGTGGCTTCTGGTGGGGTTTCCCATATTAGATTTTCAAATGATGATCCTACTTTATGACAGTTTGTAATTTTATCTCATAGTATTGTCTTTTAATTTTTAAATAAATTTGCTATTCTGGGCAAGATGTTTTTGTTTTCTGGACTGTAGAGGTCTTTAAGGTTTCTGTTATTGAACAACTATTTTATTAAATTGGTCATAGAGACACTTGGTTTAGTGAGGCCTAACTTTGGGAAATGTAAGATAAACTACTTTTAGAAACATAATTTTTAATTCAATAAGGAAATATGAATTGAATTCCATGTAACTACTACATTATAGAAAAAGACTATTTGAACTAAGATATGAAAGAATATTACACATAAAAAGGGTATTACAACATTATGTTTCTCAATTTCAGTGAGTTTTCTGTCTACTTTATCCTGTCTTTAGTAACTGTCAGATTCTCTATGGAAATTCCTTAGTTTCCAAGTACCTTAATCTATTCCATACATGACTTTTGATCACTGAATTTTTAAGAATTTTCCATTATATCATGGTTGAAGTGGCATTTCATTGTCTTTCTTCCATCAATTAATGATGGTTGGTTTTCTTTATCCTGTTTAAGAAAACTCCAAACCCAAGAACATTTGTTGGTTTATTTCTCTTAGCCCCGGTCAGGTGCTGCTTTTCATTTTTAGAGTTTTACTCCATATTGAATGGAGAAGGGCCTTATGTTCTTTATGTTTAGTACACTTTTTTTCCTTCATTCTTGGTGCTTAGGGTTTCCTGAATGAGTCTCAGTTCTATAATAAATTTACTAACCCAAAGCTTTTCTTAGTAATCTCTTACTGTTGATCATTAAGATCATAATGATTATTTCTTATAGTAGTTATTCTAAAATCATATTTTAAATCATATTGAAGTACTTTTTTAGCCAATATAGACACCGGTTGTTTTGTTTTAGTTGTTGTTCAAAATATGTATGCTAGTTTGAGAAAACTTGGTTATAAAACTTGGAATTATGAAGCTGGAAAAATAAAAGATGATGCTGGGCACTGTAGCACACGCTTCTGACAAAAACACCAAAAGAATAGCAGGAATTATTGATAGCATAAAAGACTGTTTAAAAAGTGGGTCACGCTTATTTCCTTTAAATAATTGGTCACCCCTTATGAATTTTAATTGTTTCTCTAAAAAACAAAAACTTACAAATTTGGTTTTGTTTTTCTGGGATAAGCAAAAGTATACATTTTTTTCCTTCCACCCTCAAAATGATTAAATAGATAATGACACTCCTAAGTGATTATCTTTTCATGGTAAATTGGGGATTTTAGTTCTCTTTTCATTTAGCCACAAACTTTTGTGTCCAAAGATGAGCCATGTAACAGCATATATAAGATTGGGGTATAACAAATAATAAAAGAATGTGCAATATTTGATACACTTCTGTACAAAGATCAAAAATGCCCACTGTTTGAGATCATATTTGGTAAAATTTCTTAGTCATGTTGCTTCAGATTTTACTTTTCAGCTTGGCTCTGTAATAGCTTAGAAAATCAAGTCATTGCACTTAGGTTCACAAAGTAACATTGCTTTATTGCATTGCTTCTCTTGAGGATTATCTCTTTTCCAAAAAAGTTTGTTTCTTTACCATTTTTTATTTTCTATATGTGGCACCTCTATACTAAGGTCTATGCATTGTTATTTCAGCAGTACTGTGAGGGATAGTACTTTATTATCATTTGATTGATGAAGAACTTCCATTCCGGGGAGATTAAATGTGATAGGTATCTGACAGGCAGGAAGTAACAAGTAAGAATAGCAATAGATGTGTCATAATTCAAGAAGTTCATGAGCTTCCATGGAATCACATTACCTCCTAATACACAATACCTATACTATTTGACTTATAATTCTGATGGAAATAACATGAGATTGACTTCAGTCTTATTGCATATAGGAAATGAATCTAAAATGGATAAGGCAACGAAATCAGTAACCAACAGTGACATTGTTTCTATTTCAAAAAAAATCACTATGTTGGAAATGAAGGAATTAAATGAAAGGCAGAGGGCTGAACATTGTCAAAAAATGTACGAACATATAAGGACTTCATTAAAGCAAATGGAAGAACGAAATTTTGAATTGGAAACCAAATTTGCTGAGGTTTGATATAATTTTTATCATGCAACTAGAGAGTTAAAGGTTTAGCCTTAATAACTAGTGTATTAATGTTAAGAATTCTTTGCCTCTGGATTAGCATATTCAGATAGCACTGTGTTTCCTATAATTTAATATATAAAAGATTACTTAAATCCTGAATTGTTCAAAATGAACGCAGGTATTTCTGTGAATAAGTTCTTATTTGTCATCAATGGTGTTTGGAAATTATTTTCTACTGCTATCTCTTCATTTAACAAATATTTATTGCCTATTATATTCCAGACCCTGTTTGGGAGCTGACAGTATAGCAAGAAGCAAAATGGACAGTAATCTCTGCTTTCAGGAACTTTACATTCAAACAGGAAGTTTTTGATTTGTTTTAATGTGGTTAGACTCATTAAACTATCAGACAACAAATAATTTGTAAACATTTAACAATTTATAATTACATAATACTCAGTGTTTTCTTACCTTTATAATTAATATATTTTTGAAAGCATAAATATCATTTTTATTTAACTGAGTTCTAAGTCTGTATTAATAGGATTTTGCTAACTCATTTGGATTTATTTATAGATTATATGATCAAGGCAAAAATATAATGAATACCTAATTCCAAGCAAATTAAGAATATCAGAGTTCAGATGTTATTAAAAGAGTGAACATCTAAAACAAATGATTTTTGCTAGATTGTAATATAACCACATTTTCCAGAATTTGTTCCTGATTCTTTCCTTTGTTGAGTCTCCTTTTAACAGTTAACAACCATGTCTGAATTAAGGCAAAAAGTACTACAGTACTCTAAAGGCTAAATTGTACTGAAAACTTCACCCAAAGCTCCAGCTGGGGCTGGAGCTCACTGGTAGAACACATGCTTAGCATATGTGAGGCCAGTGAGTTAAATCCCCGGCATCAAAAAATGATGTATTTGAAAGATGTTTTCTTACCTTTTCTTAGCTTACTAAAATCAACTTGGATGCACAGAAGGTGGAACAGATGTTAAGAGATGAGTTAGCTGATAGTGTGAGCAAAGCAGTAAGTGATGCTGATAGGCAACGGATTCTAGAATTAGAGAAGAATGAAATGGAACTAAAAGTTGAAGTGTCTAAGTAAGTCCATGCATACATTGTAGTCATTTGATTAGATATGTTGTCTATAGTTTGTCTTTAAAAACTTAATTACAAGCATATGGGCTAATAGTCTAAGTACCAGTTGATACTGGCTTCTTTTTTGTAAGAGCAGGATAATAATATGGTTAGGTTTTTTACAGTGTGATATAATAACATTGAAGAAGAAATGGATCTCTTAAAATCAGCATTTTTCAGGATACAGAAATGCTATTGTTGAAAGCACTAAACTTGGAATCAAACCATCTGAGGTCCACTTCATACTGCTTTATTTTAACAGGAAGGAGAGATGGAAGAGCAGTGTTCATTTAGTGCATTATTGAAGTTGCTTCACTTTAAAGTACCTCCTCCATCTGTTTCATAAGGTTGCCATAAAAACATAATGAGAAATTTAGATTTTTGACTTAATTTAACACATAGCCATCTGCTATGTGTTTGGCACTGTGCACGGTATTAAGTACATTAACTCATATAATCTCACTTACCTCTGAGGTAACATTGCTTTCATTTCATAGGAGAAAACGACTCCAGCTAATTTAGAACACAAAATGTATGTAAATACTATGTGCTAAGTAGATGCTATGTACTCACTTTTGTAATCAGTTACTACTTAAGTAGCAAGCATTTGAACTTGTACCTGCAAATCAGGTACTCTACCACTTGAATCACACCTCCAGCCCAGGAATGAAGGTTTTTTTTTTTAATATGGGACACTTGTTAACCTCTCATGGAATTAGGTTTTGTGAAACAGTTCAGGAAACCCATATACCTTTTGTGTTTTATACAAAGAAGACATGGTAGAAGCTAGAAATTTGGGATTTGGATATTTACTTAGAAGATATACTTAATTATTCCTGAAACCTTATCACTTTCTAGATTAAGAGAGATTTCTGATATTGCCAAAAGACAAGTTGAATTTTTGAATACCCAGCAACAGTCCAGGGAAAAGGAAGTAGAATCCCTCAGAATGCAGCTATTAGACTATCAGGTATGTGTAGTACTGACTCTTCTATGTAGAATTTACTTTTTTCCTAAATTCACATTAAATATTGGTGTAAGATTATAGTTTTAATCAGAAGATATGCCAACCAAAAGGCTATTATTATTCACTAGGCACCAGTGGCTCATGCCTGTAATCTTAAATACTTAGGAAACTGCAATTGGGAGGATGCAGTTCAAGGCCAGCCCAGGCAAATAGTTCATAAGACCACTATCTCCAAAATAACCAGAGCAAAATGAACTGGAGGTTTAGAAGCTCTGTGTTCAAACCCCAGTCTCATAAAACAACAAAAAGGCTGTTATTCTTATTAGTTGAAATCTGATTTTGAAAAATTCTTTAATTTGAAATATGATACATCACCCAGAAAAACATTTAAATCCCTACAGATATGTTGTATTGATTACTGACCAAAGTTAAAACACTAAGGAGGAGTAGTTATTGAATTCCTAAAAGCAATATTTTCCCTTATTTATATGTATCTTTTCACATATTCTCATATGGTATATATTTTTGAGGATTAAAGAAAAGTACATACATTGTCTATGTTAGTATTATACTAGTATTGTTATTAACATTTCGAATTTAAAAACAGTAATATTCAACTGCTGTTTTATTAGAATTTAAGTGTATTTGATTGGTTTTTTTTCCCCATCACAGTTCTTTGGTAATTGTGTTAAAATAAAGTTAGATTTTTGAAGAATTCCATGTGCCACACTATTTTGAATCTTTATTTGCTAAACTGCGATTTTAAATACATGAAAAGTTTCATTGGAAAAACTTGAAATTTGCTACAATTATGTATCTTTTAATACAGGCACAATCTGATGAAAAGGCACTCATTGCCAAGTTGCATCAACATATTGTCTCTCTTCAAATTAGTGAGGTTACTGCTCTTGGAAAGCTGGAGTCAGTTACATCCAAACTACACAAGATAGAGGCCTACAATTTGCGCATAGAACAGAAACTGGATGAAAAAGAACAGGCTCTCTATTATACTCGTTTGGAGGGGAGAAACAGAGCAAAACATCTGCGGCAAACAATTCAGTCTCTACGAAGACAGTTCAGTGGAGCTTTACCCTTGGCACAACAGGAAAAGTTCTCTAAAACAATGATTCAATTGCAAAATGACAAACTTAAGATAATGCAAGAAATGAAAAATTCTCAGCAAGAACGCAGAAATATGGAGAACAAAACATTGGAGATGGAATTAAAGTTAAAGGGCTTAGAAGAGTTAATAAGCACTTTAAAGGATGCCAGAGGAGCCCAAAAGGTAAACCTTAGTTTGAAGTTCAGTATTTCCAAGAGTTAATAATAAATTAAAGCTTTTAACATGTGTCTGTATGAAAAATGCTTAATGTGCAACCAAATTCTACTTATAATTCATTAAATTAGATTTTATTAATTAGGAATTTTGGCAATTTGAATGTCTATTATTTGTAAAAACAAAGTGAGA